GTGCCTCCTATCTTGTTCGGAGTGTCATGCAACAGCGAGTCAAGTAAACCAGCAACACCCTCCGAGAACACACGGAAGGCAACATCGGCGTCATCGACACCAATGGGAGTTTTAAGTTCTGCTAATTCGTCCAGTGAAGTCACGTACGTTGACATAAATCCTCGCCATCCCTCCATCAAACCTTGAGTACGTAAGAACACCTTGCAATATTCATCTGTATCTGCGTCCGTTGATGCCCACGGAAGTTCCATAGACTGCAGCACAGTCGTGACTGTTTCCACTAGCTCGTCCACATTTTGAGTTGCAAGACGCACCAGTTTGTCCTTCCGCTTGACGTTCTTTGTATCAATCACCGCCTTTGGCTGATAAGCCAGCAGAAAGCCACTCAAGTCTGTTGTGTCTGACGAAATGAACATGGACTGCACCTCTGCTCTTGATGGAAGAAGCGCCTTCATCTCCTTCGTAGCTGCAGCTGAAACAATCGAAATCGAGCCACTTTGTTGCGAGTTCTGCTGTGACGCTGCAGACGCCATCCGCTGTCCTCGTCCAACGCCAGCAGTGAGTTTACTACTCTCATTTTTAATAACCCTCGCCATCAACTTCTCGATTTCAGCTCGAACATCTGCGACGTGTTCACTTTGAAGACGCTGCATTAAATCATCCAGTTGTTCCTCAACTTCCTCCTCCGTCATTTGATCTTCATCATCACTATCCTGCCCTGTATCGGCTTCATCCGGCATGCATAGTCCAAGCATATCCAGCGGGAACTTGCACATCGCCGCATAAGCGGCCTTCCGCACACTTGAATGTTCGCTGTCTGCAAACTCCCATGCCTGGTTGAGCAGTTTTAACGCGTTCTTTTCGTTCGCTGTACACTCGGCACTACCAAGAGCGTAAAAGCAGCATAAACGCTCCTGGAAGAGTGGCTCGTCAGTACAAGTCACCTTGTTCTTACGCATTTTCTGCGATATGATCTTGAACGCCACGTAAAAGTCCAAGCAGTCCGCTCCACACAAGGCGGTGATCGCATCCATAGCCATGGCAACCACTGACTGCAACTCGTCTTCGAGAAACCCTTGGATGGAAGAAATGAACTGCACACCCAGCTCCGGGTCCTTCTCGCATAGAGCTTTAATCGTAGCCATCTTCACGACGTGACGCTCAATATCTTCGTCTGGTGACGTTGATTCAAGCAGCATGGCTTCCAGTCGTGGGAATACTCGAGACTCGTTCCGCCACACTTCAAACATGAGTTTAAGCGCCATAGACCGCATCTTTGCAGTGCCATTCATACTGTCAATCAGTCGAAGAATGATCCGCATAGTGTCAGTTGTTGTGGCCGCCAGTCCAGCCAAAGAATACAAGCACGAAGTCATCCACTGGCCGTACTGGCGTGCTGATGCTGGCTTAGTATTAGCAGACGGCTGCTGAGATACAAGAAAGACCAGACTCGACACGAGCGCTTTCGTAGTATCAGCACCCCAAAACTTGGGGGAGCGACTCACTTGACGCTCTAAACACTGCGCAGCACACTCACGAACAGATGATCGCGCATCCGACAGCAACGCCACCAATAGCAATGCTAACCACTTGTCCGTAGAGTTGTTAACTGCAGCAGATGAAGCATCGCCCGACGAGAATAAAGAATTTAACCACCGCTGACATTCTTTTTCATCGCCAATGAGTTGCACAGCCGAGCGCGCATGAGTTGCAATCTCTGTCAAGGGAGAATCTTTTTCAATCTCGTATTGAAGATGAAAATTCCGCTTGGACTTGATCGCAATCACCCGCTGAA